AAGAGGGAAGAAGAATCCCGTAAAGACTATGGTTGGAAGGGTGGCAGAGGCGGAAAAGCAGGAAGATGGAGAAGCAAACGAGACAGGAGGTGACCATACTCGACAGGGGCATTAGTCATTTCTGGGAATCAATGCGCCAAACCCCAGGTCGGCAAAGCGACCATCCAAAGTCATTTTTCAAGGTCGTGGTCGTTCCGGAGGGCTGTGGGCGCTGTTCGACAGTGCGTCAAATGCCGTGAGCATTGCCTGGTCGAGCATACAGCAAGAACAAGCCTGCTTTAAACGAAGCGGCTGTGCTAACAGAATTGGTCGAACCATACACTCATGTGAATCACCCACCACGCCAGGAAGCAGAAACGGATCCTTCATCCAAGTTGTCGACCCCCAAAACAATGAGTGTGAACGGCTCAAGCATGATTCTGACACTGCTCAAAGCGACAGCACGCCGCATACGGTCTTCTACTCTGCATTCGCGCGACACTTTGCCCGAGCTATACACAGCCTTTCTCGCCGCTGGCAGAAAGCGAACGCGTCACACAAGCGAATGGCTTAACGGGATAGCCAATACCCACCAATACTCACCAATACTCACCAATCCTGCGCTGCTGATGAACCCGAAGGGAGATTCATCTCCAAGCCTCGAGCTAGAATAGAGAGAGCGAGAAAGGGAAGGAGAGGTATAGGAGAAAATGGCTCGCGATTTCCACCACCTCCAGGACCAGTACCAGCCACTTAGAATGTCTGTTCTGTCCTCCGATGCTCGAACTCGGGGTAGATGGATAGTGGATGAGTTCAAGCAAATGGATAGAAAATAAGACTTGCGCCCACATGGAAAGACCATCGCACACAGACTGCTGATTTGGAATGGATCCCCATGTTTTTCAAGGGTTGTTTCTTTCCGTCTGTCTGTATTTTTGCACCGCAATCCTTTCACTCCTCGCCTTACCCTCCCCGTTGTCTACCTAGGTAAATAGTATTCGTGACATTTAACACACCAGCTGACCGTCGCAGCCGGCGCCGAGTTATTTAGCCCACCCCATTATACCTCCCTAGTATGCATTCCCATAAGTACGCACTCCTATTCGTATTCGTATCCATATTCCCATTTTTCTATCACCCCATTCCCGCTCGTCCCGTCATGTCTCATGCGATCGGGCCCCCCGTTATCGGTCTCGTTTTCGTCTCGTCGAGCCGATCATATGGCTAGCCACCACAGCCCGTAATACACCCCAGGGTGCTAGAGGACCGTAAAGGGCTCCTCCATCCTTCCCTGCCTAAGGGTTCCTGTTTAGGAGTCCTAATATGGACTGGGCAAGGTAGGACAGCGCCAGAAAAGAAAAGGGAGGGGGAGGATTTCGTCTCACTCCTTGTGTTATGTTATGATGTATTTATGCCATGGTACCATGGGAGGGAGATGATGCCTTCTCGCGTTCTCGCAGTTTAGGGGGCAAACAGACAAAAAGAAAAGGTGATGGAGAAGGGTTGGTAACTTTGCACGGATGTAAGAATGTAGGTGTCTATGCAAAAGACGAACGCCGCCCGCTCGCTATGCATGCCCGCTCTAACGTTTCCAAAAAGGCAAGGAAAAATGGCCCAAGTTTCCAGTCACCTTTTCCCAACAAAATTTCGTGTGGTGAGGGCCCCGTACTGTGTTCTCAATTTTGCTGTCCTTCTCCCGGCTATGCTGTAGTGGCAGTTGGTGGAATGGCTTTTTCAACGTCTGTTCCTACAGTGCCCCTCCTACTCCTCTGCCTCTCCTCCCTCTCGCGCAGCAACTCCTGTCTCACCCGCTCTTGCTCCTCGATGCCCGTTCTTGCCTTCTCATGCGTGCTGCTGAGCTCCTTCTTCTTAATGAACAAGCTCACGAGGATGCCAAACGCCGCAAAACAGGTGTAGAAGATCCACATCGTCCTCAATGAGTCGGTGTACGCTTTGTCGACGGCGTGGCGAGCGGGCCCGTGGAGCGTACGGACGATCGAGGTGGTGGCGCCAAAGGAGGAGGAAGTCAGAAGTCTCGCGCGCTGAGATCCGATGACGGGGACCAGGCTGGCATACTTGTTGGAGAGTTCGTTGGTAAAGACCACGCCACCCAATACGACCGAGATCGATGTGGATAGGTTGCGGATGAAGCCAAATGTCGCTGTTGCTACAGCCATGTCATGGCCTTTGATGTGGGCTTGCAATGCAATCAATGGGGACTGGAAATTCGGACCCACGCCGATACCTGCAATGATCTGATATATGATGATTTTGGTCCAGTCCGGGTTGGGAGGTAAGTCGATGAACAGCCCGTAACCAAGAGTCATTACGCAGAGGCCGAACCAGATGGGGTCACGGAATCGACCTGTCTTCTTGACATAAAGGCCCGTGCATGTCGAGACAAAGGACAATGTGAGGACCATTGTAAGCAGGTATACTCCGGAGAGAAGAGGGCTAGCACCAATCACGGTCTGAAAGTAGAAGGGCAGGTAGTAGCTCCCGGCAATGAAGACGAAGCCGTGGATGAAGCAGACTCCCAAGGATGCAAGGTTGGAACGGTTTTTGAACAGTCGAAGGGGTATGACCGGATACTTGGCCAGCTTCCACTCGTTTAGGAAGAAGAGGGCAATAGTGAAGACGCCGAAAATGATGAGGCACAATGTGTAGGCACTGTCCCAGGGCTTCGTTGTGCCTCCCGAGGTCATGCCAAATAGGAACATGACAACTCCTCCGACGATTGTGACGACGCCGATCCAATCGATCGCCTTGATCCCGGCCCAGAAGGGTGTCTTGGGAGTGTCCAGTTTGAGGAAGAAAGTGAGCAGGATCAAGGAAAGACCATCCAGCGGCAAATTGATATAAAAGCACCACCTCCAGGAGGCAGCTTCGGTGAAAGCGCCCCCCACGACGGGGCCAACACCAGAGGCGATTGCCCAGACCATGCCCAAGATTCCAAAGTACTTGGGCCTTTCTCTCATGCTGAATAGATCGCCTATGCAGATGTAGACCAGCGTTACGAGACCACCTCCGCCGATGCCCTGAATCACTCGTCCCCCGATAAGTAGACCGATCGAGTTGCTCAGGGCCGCGATCAAACTCCCAGCCATGAAGATTCCATTGGCCAACATGATGATGGGCTTGCGGCCCCATATGTCCGAAAGCTTGCCCCATAAAGGAACACTTGCAGCGTTTGCGAGTAGATACGCGCTGCCAACCCAGGTGTAATCTGAAGCCGAGGCCTGGAAATGTTGGGCGATAGTCGGGAGAGCTGTGGTGATTATGGTGACGTCCAAGGCGGCCAGGAACAGGGCCATGCACAGGGAGAACATGATAATGACAATCCGGCTTGTAGAAAACTCGGAGGCTCTGGATTTTGTTCTGTCCAGAGCGGGCTTTTCGGGGGTTAGCTCGTCAACTGGTGACCCATTATCTCGCGGCGTCCCCACGGCGACATCATTTGCTTGGTCAGGGAACTTTTCTGATGCAGGGTTGCTGGAAGACGCTGGTGAAGGTGCATCATCCAGTGCGGTGTCTGTGTTGGGAGGCTGGATTGCGCCTGGCGGAGCAACACCCTGTGGCTCAAGGTTCGACGCCATGGTGAATTAAAGCAATGATATTGGCTACCAAGCCTGAAGCTCTGAAGCCAACTGAGGTCTGTGAAGTGGTCGATTCGAGGAGATATCTGATGGAGGCTGTTGCGGCAGTGGTGAGTAGTGGTCAATATTTGTATGTGATATCATGTATTGGGGTTTGCACTTGGACGGACGCGCCTTTAAGTCCGAGCCACCTAAAACAGAGAGCCTTGTCAAGTCGACAACCGATATCGGGAGTGGTCAAAGTGGCTAGGCCCTAGGCAGGTTGGTCCGTGAGTCAGAAGGATAATAGAATATGTGGTTGACAATAAAGGAATGTAGGCAATGGTGGTGAAAATGCGCCATCATGATGGAGGAATAGCCCAAAGGGTGGCCCGGGGTTTCGAGCAAGCAAGCAGGCGGGCCCGAATGGCAATGCCGAGCCGATTACGAGATCTGGGGGGGCGATTCGATGACGAGACGAGGGAGAAGAGAATTGAGGACAACCCAAGCATCGCGTGGTTGCTGAGGACTTATTCGTACAGAGCCATGCTAGTCAAACTGTTTACTAAGGAGAAATGCGGAGGGCCGCAAGGTTTGAGCAGGGGGGGATTGGCTCGACGGCATTAAAGAAATGTCGGCCCCGTTGGAATCACACACAGTGTCGAATCAAAACTATCCCAGGAAGCGGGGAGGGAAGGGATTTTTCTCGCCTCCAGCCCTTCGCACAACGACACCGTGCCGACAATATCTCGAAACAGGCAGAAACCCGCCAGGAAAAGAGGCCCTCGATCGAAAAATCTCCTCGTTCGGCTCCTCGACGAACCGAGGCCGGGTCACGTGAAATCATGTGACCGCCATGTGACCGCCATTCTGACCATCACCCCGTCCTACTGTCTCCCTACTTGTAGTATGTACTCGTCATCGAGCACCTCGTAGGAGTCCCTGACTGCCTTCAATTGCACCAATCACGAAGTTCTCCTGCTCCAGGTTATTCCCGTAAAAAGTCCTCGTCGGTCACTAAAGGGAAACAATTTTGCTAACTTCGATGCTGAGGTTATACGTCCGGCAATCATAGGTGCTTGTTCCCGCAAAAAGACAACAGGAAGATATACCCAGTACTCGCTATGCGTGTGCAAGCTCAAACTTTGGAGCAACGTCAAGAAACTGGCAAGTGGCAACTTCTATTCCTGCCCGTTCTCCGCTTTTTCTTTCTTTCTCAAAATGGCATGCCGTCAAGTCATGATGCAAGGCAAAGTGCAGAAACCGGAATGGGCCCTCTCGACGAAATCGATAAAAGGCGTCTTCGCGTCGTCATGTCAAACCAGTACTAACACCATGCTCAATTCAAAGGTTCGTGGCACCTCAGACAATTCATCTCCATGTGCCACATCACGGGTTCAAAGGGACCCTTCTTCTTGTCCTTCCCTTGAGGCACCAGCTGTCGGATCAATGCACACGATGCCTGTATTCATCTTCATCAATCTGTTGAGCTCGATAGATCCTGCCCACCAGTTTGCCTTTCCACGGCTTCTTTTGCTTCGATGTTGACTTGACCCCACAGGAACGCGTCTCGATAATATTTCCAGTCCATGTCCCTTCAGATTCCATCACTTCTACTTCGTGCGATAACGACCCCTTCTTGAATTTCTCCCACGCCCTCTTTTCGAGGTCGGCGATCAAGCAAGCTTCGTGGTTCCACATGCTGCAGTCCCGGCACTGGTACGTGTCCAGCTTGGGATTGTCGTAGCCGTTGCAGGTGCAGAATTGCCGGAGCTTGCTGAGCATCTTAGCGGGGGACGCTGTGATGTTAAGGGTTTGGCGCCAGTATCTCTCTCGGAGGACGGTCTTGTTCGAGTCATCCTCTTCATCCCAATGGCTGACTTCGGCATGCCCTGATATTGTATGGGCCTCGACGATGTCAACATGATTGCTCAACACTAACTCTCGTTTGCCATGGTATGGCTGTCGACCCATGGGTAGTTCATGTGGCCAGTATAGCCAGAACAGCCGCACGAGGACCTTAGAAGCCCCGCCTCTGAACTCAGCTATTAAGCCCACCCACAAGTTGTCCTTGTCACACTGTAATTTCTCGTCCTCTGATGCATCGGCTGGAGGTGCAGGGGGGCCGGGGTCGTGGCGATTGACGTACACAAATTCGCCTACCGTGTAGCTGTCATTGTAAGGTTCGCTGACTATGCGGCACCCATCACGTCAGTACAGGACGAGGCTGCTGAACTGGCTGATACTTACACGGCGCATTTTTGAACCTGCGAACACTCTGCCACGCCGAGCCCGGTCTTATACTAAAGTCGATGGAGAGATCAGCCATTTCCAGCGGAAAGTCCTCCAAAAGCACGACGTCGCCGTCGTCCCCCGCAGTGGCCATCCTGTGCCTGGGCGGCGCAGGGCCCACGATAGTGAAATTCGCGTCGACCGGTGGCATTTCAGATTTCTCTTCGGGTTTGTCTTCAGATTTGTCTTCATATTCGTATACAGATTTGTCTTCATATTCGTATACAGATTTGTCTTCATATTCGTATACAGATTTATCTTCATATTCGTACGCAGATTTATCTTCATATTCGTACGCAGATTTGTTCTCATATTCGTATTCAGGTTCGGCTTCGGATTGTACTTCGCGGTAACGATTTGCTCTTTCAGCTCCTGGGGCTGTATTTTCGCTCCCGTCATCCTCCATTTCACTCGCGCGCCGCTTGCGCCCACGCATCTGGCCTGGTGTCTCAGTGTCGTCGGTCTCGTCGCTTCCGCGTGTGTAGGTCTCCTGATAGGAGCCCGAGGAATGATACTCCTCGGAATCTGTAGTACTAGAGGCCATCGAGAACAACAAGCGAAAACTCTAGTAGCGGACGCAGACACAAACCAAAAGCCCTTTTAAAGCGCTGGAGAAATTGATTGGATCGATCTAAACACGATTTTAAGGGTTGACGGTCGGCGTGTAGGAAAAGGGTGCAGGGAAGCGAAGGTGGGCAACTGCTTTGGATGAAGCGCTCGTGGCGCAGGTCAGTGCCAAATAGCGCGGCAGGGCCTATTTGCGAGGTAACTACGACAAGAAATCACCTTTGCACCTTACCCAGTAATTGGCGAACAAGAGTCTTCAGCTGCTGTTCACAGATCATGATGGGAGAGATGGTATTATGTATGTACTTATGTATATGGCTGAGATAAGAATTCTGGGGTAAGGTTGAGCTGGCGAAGGTTGGCGAGGGCTAAGGGCCCCATGCAACCCTTTTATCCCCTGTGGCTTATGGCATCCAACCCAATGTGCCTAGTCTTTTAGGGCCTGTGTGGTCTGTGGTCTGTCCAACCACCCGTGAGTCTGCTTTTTCAGGATGCCTCTCTTGTCTGCAAAGACCGTGGTTCAAATTAAAAACATCCTCCCTTGTCTGGATCCTGCTGCCACTGTGGTTTCGCGTGCGTTCACCTTTTGACCGCCTGCATCTTGGCAGATTCTGCTCCCATGATAGTGTCGTATCCAGCGGGGGAAAAAAAACCATGTCACGAATTCATCCAGTGCGCCGTCTGGTGAATCTGTCCGAGATTTTCTACCTAAGCTCGCGCCCAAAGCTTGCTTTCTAGTACGGCAACGCCTAGAGCAACCGTCGTCGCAGGGTATCAAGTATTGACGGCAGCACTCTCGGCTTCTGGTCACTCCTTCGGCCACACACTTCTTCACCTTTACTTCTTAACTGAAGGAGACCCAAAGAATCCCTTGATCTTATCCAGCAAGCTATCATGCTTCTTTTCGTGGATATGTGCTTCATTTCCTGCTCCCCCTCGTCCGACATGGTGAGACTCTAATTTCGCAATTCGAGTGGCAGTCTCGGGAACTACATCAGTATCGTGCGGCGCCGCCGAGGTTGGCTTCCCATCATGCTCAATGTTTCCTGCACCACCGCGACCCGCCGAGTATGGCCCGTCACCTTGGTCGCCGACTGGTCCTTCGCGTACAATTTCCCCGTCGACGTAGGTTTGGGTGTCAGGCCCGATGTTGGCGGCGCCTGAACGACATCAGTAAGTCGAGTTGGAGGGTTTTTGAGGGATGTGCAGCTTACCTCCACGGCCGTGAGAGACGTTGGCCATATGAAGCAGTGGTTTGAGGTCTGTAGAAGTCAGCCAGAACTGTTACAAGTCCCTGTTGTTCGGATTATGCATGTGCAACAATCACGAGTGGCGAACAAGATGGACAGGGAGACAGCGAGCCAGCCCCACAAGCCCGAAGCAAGGCTGGGTGGGAAGAAGTGCTTATGGGATGTTGCTTACCGTAGTGGTATCAGTGATTCTCGGAGTGCAGGCTGTTAGCTTGCGCTTGGTAGGCTGTGCCAGTGTACAAGGGGTCAAGGGCGACTACTATGGAGATCTGGAGGAAGAAGCAGAAAGTAAACCAGTGTGAGTCGGTGGCCGTTGAGATGGGTTGATATGGGTTGATATGGGCAAAGGTTCTCGGGGCTATCCAAGCAAACCAAGAAATGCCATGACAATTGTGAGTGACAAACTGCAAAAGCAAATAATGGTGTGACTTGTGGCTTCCACCCAGCCCCGAGCGCCCAGTGCCCAGCGCCCAGCGCCCGGCGGCCGCCTTGGTCGGTCAAGGTCGCTTTGCTCAATATGACGTTCAGTACTCAGTACCAAGTAAGTTCCCCCCGGCCACGACCAGCTTTTCCTTTTGACGTCGGCCAAGATTCGCTAACCTCGCATGCCCAGCCTTGCCCTATCAATGGCCAATCTCAGCGCCCCGTTCATCCGCCCATCCTCTTAGTTGTGCTGCCGAGCCAGGCATGCAGCGAGCAGGTCAGATACGGGCACGTCTCGTAAGGCTTGTCACAGATTGAATTATCCCATGGTTGTCCGATGTTCATAATTGAGCTATCAAATGCCCCATTCTTTCAGCCAGTGCCCGGTGTCTTGTACAGTAATTCATTTAACGGCCGCCCTGCCCTGGCAAGTAATTCTTCACCTCCATCCTCCCTTGTAACCCTGGTGAACCCTTCTACATTTTCGCGGTTTGCTGCTTCTCCTGGGGGCCTCCGGTTGTGGGCAGGCCCATGAAGATCTTGAAAGAGTCGTAGATCATCCATTGCAAGCCGGTCAGGGTTCCAATCATGACCTAGTGAATTTCGAGGATTAGCGTGCGTATTCAATCCCAAACTCAGGGGTCGCAAACTCACAATTCGCACAGCAAGACCATTCCAGAGACCCATGAATCCAATCTTGGCATAAATGCGGCTCATGGCACCACCAAAGCTCTCACCTGGGGCGCGTTCGGCGTTGAGCTTGCTGACCATCACATCCGCTGGATGCGACACAATCGCGCAAAGAATACCGGCAAGATAACCACCAACAAAGGCCACACCGGTTTGAGCACCCTTGCCGTAATCCGACTTCTTGCCTGGCAGGTAGTTATAGATGGCGGCGACAATGTTCTCGAAAGAGGCAAATTTCATCATGGTATAGGGGATCTGCCGGCCCCAGAGAGGATAGAGACCTTTGTACAAGCTGAAGCTGTCAGCATTACTTGAGACTGGATCGCGTAGAGTGAACCTACCCGCCAACGCCTTCTTTACTCGTAATTGTCGTCAGTCCATTCATGGTACCGGAGAAGGCAGGCGGCATAGTGGTTTGCATGCGGACCTTGACGGCTTCGAATGGGCAAAGACCAACATCGGCAATGAATTCGGCCGAAGCAGAGGCAGTCAAATAGAGCGTTGTCTTATATTTCTGGGCGGCCTCCTCGCCAGCCAACTCGCTGTACAGATGCTTGAAGTATTCGTAGAAGCCGTATTTTCCAGCACCCTGCACAGAGTAGCCGACGAAGGTCGGGCTGAAACCTGTGAAGATACCCCGGAAACCTTCAGTCCTTGCAATGGTACTCCAGGCCTGGAAATTGCCCTTGTACAGTTTGGGATCGACCTGACGACGACATTTGACGAGATCAAGAGGAGTCACGGCTGCGTGGGTAGTGCCCTACATGGTTCGTTAACTCCGGGAACACAGCAGAGGGGCAATGTATCAACATACGCAAGCTAGAATTCCTCCCACGGTACATGCGGCATAGTATTTGGCAGAATAGAGCTCGATGCCCCCAACTTTGGCTTGGGCCTTTGCGCTGGCCTTCTCGTATTCTTTCTGAGCAGCTTCGCTCAGTTCAACCGCCTTGCCTTTGGCGCTCTCGGCCGCACTCCATGAGGAGAAGAATCGACGCTTTTCAGGGTTTTCGGTGGGTTTAGGAGCGGGCTTGTAGTACGGGGAGGTGGGTGTGAATGCCTGGCACAAGGCCGACGAGTTGGGGAAGAGCCCGACCATGGCGCTGTATACTGATCAGCTTATCTCCGGAAGTCCAATTGAGCAAGCTGATTGAGCTGTTTTCGGAGAAGTAGGGGTTGTAGGTAAGCCGGGGAGGGGTATACCTCGAGTCTTGATGAATCAGTAGACTGCGGCAGATAGATGGTTAGGTATTTTGGAAATGAGCGACGAGTGATAAAAAAAAGTCAAAGTGGTGAAGAGAGGGAGAGAGCAAGTCAGTTCAAGGAAGCGAGCAACTGCATGCGGGCGCGAGGGGGACCCGGGGGAGTTCCAAGCTGAGCGTCAGTGGCACCAGTGGGCGCTATCGTCACAGCTTGCCGGCCCCAAAGCCCAGTGGTTGACAATGGTCAGTCTCTGCGGGCCTGGGGAAGGTCCGAGGTTTTCCAGGGCCAATACGTCACCACTACGGCTGGCTAAATAGGCACCAAGCCGCAACTATCACGAGATCGATCTAAATTCAAGTAGACAGCATTTTGAACAAAGTTCTCCTCATTTCAGCCAGCAACAAACGCTCGTCTATTCGTTACAACAATGATAGCATGCTAAACAAGAGCTGTTTGATCTGTAACACCGCATCGCTCTGCCCAGATACCGACAGAACGAACCATGCCTCATTCTCAGTCCCTTCTCGAGCAGGGTGTGCCTTTGGGCCCGACGATCGTCCCTCAGCCCAACGGACTTCCCCCTGACGAAGATGAACACGCTGCCAGACTGTCTTCTTGGGCAGACAAATACCGTGGGGCGACTGTAGCAGACCTGGATCTTCCTCCTGCGCTTTCGACTTCTCCAACCACCTCGCTTGCCTCTGCCATGCTCTCAGCCTCCTCCCATGACTATTCTCACTTGACGGTCCTCTCCGATAACAATCGCTCCCTTCTGGGTTACCTGCCTGTTTCGAAATTGAGACACCTCTTTGAATCAGGGTTGTTGCAGCCCTCTGACCCAGTATCGAAGGCCATGGTAAAATTTCAGCGAAGGGGAGGAAGGAAATACCAAGTAGTCACAATGGAGACAGAGTTATGGGAGCTCGAAGGGTTTTTCGAGGACGTTGGGCCGTTGGCCACAGGCGACAACCAAGACTTTGCCGTCGTCACCGATGGAGGGAGAAAATTCGTCCTGGGCGTCGTCACTAGGAGTGATCTGGAGGAGTTTGTGAAGAGAAGGCCCGCTTGAACACCCAGCGGCCTTTAAATGTTGACACCTCTATCCTCAGACGCCTCGTCTCGAGGGCAAGTGAACGTCGATTTGAGCCTGCGGTGCATACACCTGGACACCCCTGGCAACGTAAATGGTGCCGTTCACGAAGCTCTGCTTTCCACAGAGGGTCAGAAATCGGGATGTCCTTCTGAGACTCCGGCTGGGAGAGATTTGTGGGCTCCCTTGCCATTAACCTCCAGGGAGTTGACTCAATCACAACGACCACCCCAAATGACCTGGTATTTGTGGAGGCCCTCCTTTAGAGCGTCTGGTCCAGAATGAAATGTAATGGCTGTTTGCGGCCTGTCCGGGTGTGATCTTAGAGGGCTTTCAAAAAGACTCGGCCTCATCCCAAACTCAAAACCAACCGTTGGCCCGCCATACGGACTGTGGAGCAGGAACGAGTTCAAGCACTGTTGATATGGAGATTTTGAGAGCCCTTCTTGCTGGCTTTCTGAAGATGATCTGTTGGCAAGATTATGCGGCAGTGGTACTGCTCGTGGATGCAAACAACAACGAGAAACGACCATACAGCCAATTTAAGACGTTGACACCATCAGATCTCTGATCGATGAATCTAGTCGAAGTGGCAAGCGATCAAGACCAACACGCCCTTCAAACCCTCACCGGCAAGGATCGATTTACCGCACAAGCCGCCTTTTTCCGGCCAGGCGCGTACTTTCCCGGACACAAATGCCATGATCCCGAACTTGCCGATGGGACTCGACTGCCCTTCGAGAGGATCACACACAACGATGTCAGTTGCTATTCTAACAGCATGTCCTCTGCCACAGCGGTGGCTGCAACAAAGTCTTTCCCAATTTTCATGCCAATCAGATCCCATATATGAAACTCTTCTTTCGACCTCGTTCACCACATAAAGGTCTATATTAGCCAGAAGTCTTTGCTCAACATCGACAGCTATTGTATTCCCATGTCAAAATGCCCCGAACGATAATGGACCTTCCTCTTGAACTTCTCCAGGATGCTCTCAAGAGCATATTTCATTTCCCTCCAGACATTGATGGAACCCTCCTCAACTGCATGTCGACCTGTTCACTATGGCGGCATATTGGCGAATCCACTTTATACTCCAATGTGACACTGACCGGTCCTCAGCTTGTCAAATTCTGCGAGTCGCCAAACGATGCTGCAAAATGGACGAAGTCTCTGATCGTTCATATTCAGCCGGCCTATTACAAGCATGAGGTTGTCCTTAGCGACAACAAGATGCAAGAGCTCAGGAGTACTATGCGGCGGTTGTCTATGATGCTTCGCTTCATGTCGAACTTGCAAACATTCTCGTTCCGTGTGTCTCACAAAGAACATGTCCCCCAAGCAATTGGATTAGTCCTCCGTCGTGGCGGACTCAAACGTATCCTGAGCTCCCTCCCGAGATCAATTTGAAATCTGGAAGTAGATACATTGTGCTATGACTACCAGCCGGACCGGGCGCACCTCTGTCCGACATCGAGAGACTTGATCCCTCAACTACACAATGTACGTCTCAGACTAGCGGAAATATGTGGAGAATTACTGCCGAAAGCTGAGAATGCCAATATGGCCCTTGCCACTCCTAGGTTTCGAATGAAGGGTGCCTTCGTCATCAATACCGTGGGCAGACGAGAGTTACATTCGGTCACTAGGTCTTGTCACGGGCTGCCAATTCCTTCCTCCCTGCTGTATTTGACCACCGTCAGCTCTGGCATCACCAATCATCACCGTCGTTGCACCGACCATCTATCGCATCTGTGCACTTGCGCGATGTCCGCAAAAACAAGGAATTGCCCAGCAATTTCAGTCGCTGCTTCTTCTTTGATATGAAGTTGCGGCGCACAAGCACCTCACTCCTGAAATGGTTTCCCGCAGTCAACGCGCGATCCCTTCTCCCGATAGTAAAGCTGTCCAAATAGCCCTATATTGTATGCCGGATGATTGGGAGCTCTGGGAACTGCGGCACAAGAGTAAAAACGGAGATTTGGAGGAGAAATTGGGCAAGTTGATCGACTTGGTTGATTATGCCGAAGGTGGGGAATGGGTGGAAATGCTCGAGTGCCACAGGTGCCCAAAGAGCTACCTGAAAACACATTTTCCTCTGATCTCCTCTGGAGTCAGAGACACCCCAGTCGTAGACTGCGCCGAAATAAGCATCCCCCCGGGATCCGGACCGGTGGTATGGGACCTGGAGGAAACATTGACACGGAAAATCCTCAACGTGCAAGAGTTTGACGATTTGGAACATGTGGGCCCGGATTCGGTCGATATTGACTTGAAAGCAGCTTTGGATACAGCTCTTGGAGCAGCTTTGGAATGACGTGGAAACCCGAGTTACGCAGGCCATAAGACAAACTGGAGCGTGTCCACCCTTTGAGGAGGGTACCGGAAATTGCAACATGTCTTTACCCCGAGAATGGGCAGGAGTTCCGGTCGACAGGGAGGGAAATCGGGTTGATTTCTCTCAGGAATCCAACACATTCGTTTCATTTCGTCTGCTGAAAATCCGCGGCCAATGTTAATCGGCATAGCTACGGAGCCGCTACACGTGGCGACTCGTTCAGCTTAAACACTAACGGTTTATCAGTCTTATCCGGCTGCTCTTTCGTGTATCAACTTAGCCAGTGTAGAAGTACGAGTTACTGAAGTAGTTTCGAGAATGGAAAAGCGCCAAAGGCAGACAGGTGAATCACTTTCTCAAAACCGCTAATTCCACATAAATTGCATTATTTGCCTGGTAAATGCCCTCACCTCTTACATATTATGGGAGTGTCATGTGGCCCTCGAAACTACACAGCCTCTATCCAGTGGCCTTCCAAGTGACCGATCAGCGCGACAGCCAATCACTGCGAAAAGTGTCCTCTGGAGGAGACGATCGCGGTCCGACACCGTTGTGCCTCAAGCCCAGCTCTTCACGTGTTTAAGGTTATTATTTGGAAAAGAAAAAGGAAGAAAGAAAAATCCGCGGCTGACGATTTCATGGTTCACAATGACAAAGTGAAGTGGCACTCCAATCCACGTGACGAGGCTGAAGTTCCCCCCTTTTTCCAAGTTCTTTACTTGCAAGTTGCGAGGCCCTTCCTCAACATCCTCCTCGCTTGACCCTCTCAATGGGATTGAGGCCTTGGGTACGAGATATAACAGGCTGCGGCTGATCACATTAGAGACGTGTCATTGGCAGTTGATCATGAGCAGGCACAGGGTTACGAGTACCTGCCATGTCTTCCCCTTGCTCTGGCTTTCTACACCCTGCGACCTACCTACCTACCTGTGTTAGATCTATCGGCTTGAGAAAGCTCGGGGGTTGTGTCGAGTTATTATGGGTCGTGCGGACTGCATTGATAGCTAAATCAAGGTTTTATCTGCTAGCCAGGACCCAAAAATTCGGGAAACAGAGGCTCAGTTCTTCTATAAGAGATTATTTTAGTAAACACAGAGTCTACTTCTGTCACCTGGACGCGTCCCGGTCGGTCGGTCTCCCTCGCCCTGATCCCTGTGACCAAGCTTAAGAGATTGTGCCGGAATTGTCGGCGCAGTCGAATACCCTGGAAATCAACCCGTTGTCGAAGGCCTGCTTGATTGACACAGCCACACCGTAACTGTTTATGCGTATGTATGTGAGTGAGGGTTCCAAAAATGTCACGACACCTTCGAGAATCAACAGGAATGAATTCCACTTACGTCCCGCCCACCACCATGAAGATCCCAACCAGCACGATGAGAATGTGTGATCCAAAGATGACCTTCTGCGAGGCACTCCCGCGGGCGTATGTTTTGTAGTCGTACATCCACAGCATTGCGGGGAAGATCAAGCTGAAGGGCGCAAAGCACAGGGATCCCGCGAGGCCCAGGAGATAGTTCAAAATGGGGACCGCCTCAGCGATGATGAAGCCCAGGACCCCCAAGATCAGGTTGCTACCCAGCCAGGTCGTCCAGTGCGTGACCGTGTTGGCCTGCAGGTGGTGCGAGTTGCGCAGAATGCGCACGAAAATCAGCTTGGCCGCGACGTGCTGGTAGATGCCGACGCCGATGACCAGGCCGGGCAGGGCAATGCCGTACGAGATCTTCTTGAAGAGCGTCCCGGCGCTGCCGAACGCGGGCGTCGCCAGCCACTGGCCGCACCAGCGGTAGATGACGAGCGAGAAGGTCAAGTACATGGCACCGACGAGAATGCCCGCGACAATGGCCGCTTTGCGGTAATCGCGTGGCCTGCGCATTTCTGAAATCACGGGCAAGTACATCTGTGAGCCGCTGCCGCTGATGAAGATGTTTGCACTGGCTGTGATTCCCGCCACGAACGTCGGGTGCGCGATCGCGGTCCAGCCGAGATCGAAGTCGCCTGTTTGCGGCGCTGCGGCGGGCCTGTCCTGCTGCGTCACTGCGACCACGAAGATGAAGACGGCGATAAAGAACGTGGTGAAGCCCAGCCACGTTAGCCAGCCCAGGCGCGAGAACGTGCGGACCGAAGAGAAGGCCGTGATCAGCACGGCCGAGACGAAGCTGAAGATCACCGTGCAGGCTCCGTGCTCCGAAAGGGCGTTGAATGCCGTCGAGCACGAGACGATCCCGGCGGCTGTGATGAGCACTTGTGCAATCAATATCTGCAGCCCAACGAGCTCTTTGCCAAGTCGACCCCAGATGAGGCCGCACATATCCGCGAGTGCTGCGTGTTGAGGTCAGAAGGAGATACCTCTCAGTACCTACCGGGGGAGGCCACGGACAGGAGCGACTTACTGTGGCATTCAGGATGGCGGTTGCGAAAGTCACCCAAGATGACGGCCGTGTCTGTTGCGTATTCGTGTTAGTGTCTGATGGAGGCCTGAGGCCGACTCTGACTTGAGGTGTATAGACGTACAAGTATTCAGCACCTCCCAACCCACGATTGACAGGGCTCCACCAACGGCTCCCAGAGTTGCCAACGCTCCAGGGACAGCGAGAATGCTCATGGCAAACTGTATTTTGAGAAAGATGACGGTGGCTCGTTGCCAGCTGACGGTTCGGAACTTGACGCCCTCGGTGCCATCTTTGAAGATCTCGCGTGCCTCCAGCGTCGCTTCTTTGTCCCCCGGTAAAGACACGTCTGATCGAGGAGCTCCAATGGCATCGCTGTGGATTTCAGCAGTGGTCTTCTCGTAGGGAGCCATAGTGCTGGACGTGTCTGTTTTTGGACCGTGTCTCTCGCTCTCTTCGGGATCCTGGAGACAAACAGTTCAAGCGCACCGAAGGAGGAGGTGGAGGAGAAAAAAATCCCACATCTCCAGAGGGGTAGATCCAGATGGCCATATGTATTTCTCCACTTATCAACAGGGCCAAACAAAGTTCTAGACCAAGGGACGAAATTCGGACATGCCCTTTTGATAAGGCGCCCGAGGGACCTAGCCGCCAACTTATCAGTCCGTCCACAGCCGCCATCCACCTCCCTAAACCAGTAAAGTTTGCGTAGACGTTGCGCAGACGTTGGGTGGGTTCGGGCCGTGACCCAGTATCCCGGTAGATAATACGAAAAGAAGCAGAGAATCCAGTGGACCGGGCAGCAGCCGCATGGGCCGTGGTGATAAAGCAGGATTCGGTAACTGTTTTGTATAGCGATTGCGGGAGGATGAAAAGAAGTTATTTTGGGAGTCAGTACAGAAGCCGCTATCTCATCGGGGCCTCCACCAAAGGACCGTGTAGCAAGCCGTGGACAGGAGTAGATAAATGTTAGAAGTCGAGGGTTGTACGGACTATATTTGTAGATGGCGGTGGTTTCTCTAAAATTGGTTCACCAGAACAGTATATATGTACCACACTCCTGGGGATAATTGACGATGCCCGTCCCTGCTCTTTGAGATTCAAGCCCATCTGTGACGCCAGGCCATATGTGATCAAATGTCTGTTTTTCATAGCAAGTCAAACTAATATATGCTAAACTACTCCCATAATCTGCAGAAGGGAAAGAAAGAAGGCCCTAGCACCGCAAGTAATAACACCAACGGCCTCGACGACCCCACAACTGAATTCGTCGGTACATATGTTTCGATGCGTAATCGCAGAGCTGGCACAGCAGCCGAGGCATTCCTCCCTAACCCTGTGCTAATGGAAGCGATAACAAAGCGAACCGGTTCTAATACTCCGTACATATAGCTAGTATGAAAAGACAAAGCTATGGACAGTCGCGTGACGCATCCATACCCACCCCCTCCAGTACTGTAGCCTCGTTAAAACCCCGTGGCCTCCTCGCTATGCGCTCTTCTGGTTAGCGCGTCTGGGCACAAACCCTATACGGCTTAAGACATCCTTTTACTGCACATAGATGGGTCGCAGATAGTACTCATATAAGTAGTGGGCATGAAGAGCGGTCTGGGATTCTGATTTTTCTGTCTGTCTGCTGTCGTTGCCAGCGGTCTGGGACCGATACATAGACCGGGCACTGGACTATAAACATTTGACCAAGTCTAATTGACAAGCGAATTAAGCCCATTTCCCAAGCAAGGCCATCAAACCCGCACCCAGCAACACGTTGACAATCATGAAGGCCAGTCTCTTGTTATCCTTCGTCCGCAGAGGATTGAACAGAAAGTCCCGCGCCAGCAACTCGACAAGTCCAGTATAGATCAGAATGCCGGCGGACATGGAATCCAAGACGCCGCTGACCACGTTCGCTGTAAAAGAGTTGGGGTTATATGTCGTCCGGACTCCTAGGCCGATGGCGATGGCAATGGGCGTCGTCAGTCCGTAGGCGGCGCAAAGGACCCATGGCAACCAGCTCCCAGGCTTGAATGGGATAGCCGACATTCTCGCGCCAATGCCGAGTCCTTCGAAGGACTGGTGGAAGACCAAAACTGGATACAGAGTGCTGAACTCGTCTCCCACGACACCTAGATTGAGCCCGATAACCACGGAGTGGAAGATGACGCCAAATTCCAGAATCAGGAAAGCGGCGATTTGTTGTCGGAACGAGTTCTTGCGCATCTCACTGTCTTCTTCATCCGCGGCGAAATCCTCCATGAACCTCTTCTCATACGCAGACGACTTCCGTCGCTCTTCATGTTCGCGACGTATTGACGCAGTGCTCATCGCTCGGTCCCGCTGTGCCTCGGTTGGCATTCTGTCGGTATACCCGGTTACCGCTTCTTGCACGTCTGCTTCACTGTCGATGCCATATTTTACTTCAACATATCGTTCCGCGCCGAAGTCAAAGAGGAAGATGACCACCACAGACGTGAGGACAATAGCCGGACACCATCTAAACGATCCACATGGTCAGCTTCGCGAGTCGATGCGACGATGCAATACAGCAACAGGATACTTACGCATAGTCAGCCCAGCCTCCTGTCATGC